GCGAATACCAGAGTACCGCCAGATGTAGCGGACGCTCTGCAAGCGTAGGTGCCCATAGGGTGGGAAGCGCGAGCGCCTAGGGTAAGGCTTAAGCATGAGATAATGGAAGAAAGGTATCTCATATATGAAGATTGCAACAAATAACTGCCAGGAAGGGATGACACAAAAAAGTAGCAAGTCGAAACCACAAACGCCCTGCGGCCTCACGCGGAGAAGAGACGCCATACTGCGGCCTTTTCTGGAGACGGGACGCCTGGTGAATCGTGGCAACCTTGCCCAGTTGGTGGAACCACCGTAACTCAACGCCATGGTCCGTGTGGAGTGTTTATCAGTGGAACCGGGAATTGAAGAGCTGCATAGAAGTCGTCATTGTTCAGGGCCCATCGATTGATACAACGGTAAGGTGGTTCATTACAGTGTTCTAGGGCGCGAAGGAAGATCTGAGACGCGATGCCTCTCAGGGACGAGACGTGAAGCTCAACCGCCATATCTACGCTGCAGTCTCCTAAATCCTAAGTTCTTTCCATGGAGACTGTGACGATGAGTGTTTTTTAGTTCCTTGTTTCTCTATTCGACGCGATGAAGCTCCTATCCTTTGTTCCGCTCATAGCCGCATCGACCTCCACAAAAGTTTATGACAGCAAGACTATCGTATCGGTCACCTCCGCCGATGCTTTCGTCGACGTCCGGGATGTCCCAAAGCGTCTCGAAGATGCCAAGGTCGCGCTCAAGCCTGAAATGGCCGCCTTCCTGAAGACGGCAACTATCAAGACTTTGAAGTCCTCGGGCTTGCAGGTGGTTGCTACTTCCGAGGACACAGTGAGCTCCGACGATCTTTGTGCCTACTTGAAGGACGCGGCCTCCAAACTCTCCGGTCTGGACTGTGAATGCTCTCCCAATTTCGCCACCAAGGAAGAGGACACCAGTAACGATCTCGGCGTGAATGACCCGAATGCTTCGTGGCAAAGAGCATTCAAGCGGATGAACATGGAAGATGTATGGAGAGTGTCAGCGCCCTATGTGAGACAGACCGTCAACGTAGCCGTTATGGACAGCGGCCTCAACTTCAGCGATCCTGAGATCGCTCCTTATCGGGGTACCTTTCGTAAGAAAAGCGGCGGGTTTATCCGAGGTGGCTGGAACTTCGTGGACGACTCCTCAAACATAACATCGGTTAATCAGCATGGTCAGAGGTGTGCCAGACTCATCGCGGCCAGGAAGAACAATAGCAACGATATGGCCGGAATGTCGTCCAACGTACGTTTGGTGTCGTTAAAAACCCAGCGACCTGATGGTACTGGTAGCTGGGTACATATGGCTGAAGCCATGGACATGGCCGTCGATATTGGAGTCGATGTCGTATCAATCTCACTGGGAGAATTCATATCAAAGAGCTACGGCGACATGGTGCTGGGCAAGGCCTTCAAAGCAGCAACTGACCAGAACATCATTGTCGTCGCCTCCGCTGGTAACGATGGACTGCGAGCTGACGAATACTATCCCTGCTCACTGCCAGGCGTGATCTGTGTGGGTGCTCTCAGGAACCAGGACACTCTTGAAATGGCTGATTTCAGCAACTACGGTGATAACGTCGACATAGCTGCCTACGGCTCTGGAATCTACACCGGTGCTAACAGATTATCCTCGGGCACATCCTTCGCCTGTCCTATTGTCGCTGGAGCAGCCGCGATCTTGCTTTCTATGGGCGTTAAGCCAAAGTACGTTGCTGACATGCTCACCCACAACGTTGATCGGTTCAGTAGCCCTTCGAGGCCCATCGAGGCGCATGCTGGAGCTTTGAACCCGCTCGAAGTTGTCAAGTTGGCGATTGATTATCCTATTTTGAGAGGAACCCGCTGAAAGGCTTGAGCTCCTCGTACTTTTCTTCATAAAGAAGACCCGATTCTGCACCTCATCGCATAGTGGGGTTTGTATCCCTCTGCTTTCACATCAACCCGAGCTTTGTACTCAGCTCCTAAGCCCAGGTTTACTGGCAACTCCTAATTCCAGTGTCGTCGCTCAACCCGTACACTGCCAACTGCATTTGAACAGATATATTAACAACGGATTTGTTCGACACTATCCAACGGGTGGGTTGTTGCGTTCTCTAGTTCAGCAAGAGGACGATACAATGGTCTAGTTGGAACGCGTTAATCGTACATTATCGTACATTCACGCGGCCGGACCAGAGCCCTACTGTAGCCGGACCACGAGTCGTGGTCCACGACAGTCGTGGTTCGGAACAGTCACTGTCCTGTTGCCGACATTGATACCAGTTAATTCTTCGCGAAGTAGACATGTGTAGAGGTACTGGTTCGGGTTGTTGTATGGAAAATAAGACAGAGTTTCACAATCTCCTAGGCGCCGTTCCGAGTATCGGTACAGTGGAGTAGGTACACATACAGTTAGTGATCGGCCCTCTCGCGGGCATGCTGAGAGAGCGAACGATCGACCATTAAGCGGCGAGAAGACGTCTGCTGCAGTTCCCGAGTGTGAGCCACGAGCTCGTCCGATCTCATCCCTACATAAGACATTCTGTTTGTCATTTAACTCCCAGGGAGGTAAGGAGGTCCTCCCTATATGACTGCTGTATACCCATTTCCTGGGATTCCAAGGCTGGGAATGAGTATAAAGTTTCCTCAGGAAACACACTCGCGGCATAGTTCAGGTACGGCTCAGTGTCTTACGATACAGATTTACGAGCCTAGAGCTTCGATGGGCCTGTAGAGAATCGACCCATCGATCCAGTTACTGTCACAAACGTTGGACATTCTTTCCCGAGTGTTCCAGTCCGCTACGTCGAGCAAGGCTAGCGTGGTCTATAACCTATATGTCTATATGATATAGGTGATGATGTAAGTATATAACGACCTGGACATGAACGACATGGAAAGTCTTCTTGAATAGTCTGAGTGGCAGCCCAGAGGCTGTCCCTCATCGCAAGCAATCGTGACTGTGGGATAGGTAACTGTTTTAGAGTTACTCTTTTCGTTACAATATTGTTGCTCTTGTATCAGCAGATGATAATCAGCTTATCCATTGTTATGTCTGAGAGCATCGACTAGGATGAAGTGCCTATGTCACTATAGCGTGATCAATTAACTCTTGCACTGTGCACATACGTACATTATGTACGTATAGTACAGTGCTGTGTACGGTATAGAGTTATTCTCCCTCTAACAGACCTAACAAGAGTGACCACTCACCGCTCACTCAATTTTTGCGTGGATGCTGGGTCTGGGATGGACCATGCTCTCCGCTGAGATCGTCCAACGCGCTGCACGTAACGCGCATCCCAACACTCACCACTTTTGAGGAAGTTGCTTCGTTGCTCGGAGCAGCTGAGCACGATCTGACTTAGACCCCTAACAGCTCATGTTGTGCTGCTATTACAGAACGGTAACACGAACTACATATCAGCGACAGATTGTTTCCACGGTTTATTCACTCGGATGCTGGCCTGCGACTATCTGTAAGACGACTCATGGGAGGGAGACGAAATGAAGACGTGTCTAAGACAGCCATAGCGTATCCATTTGGGAGAAGGAGTGGAGACTAAAGTCAGATAGTCATGACTCATGGGAGGGAGACGGGCTGAAGTCGTGTAATGGAGGAGGACGTGACTAAGGAACAAGAAGTTGTCGGGGGTCGGGCCGACCCGATCAGCTAGCGTCGTCGACGTGGCCGACCACGATCCTGAGCCGAATCCCGAGTGAGCAAGTGAATCAGAGAGGAAAAAGAACCACTGAGAAGGGTGCAGCTCTATGTAGAATGATCACAACAGCACAGAGGTACTCATATCATCATATATCATACTCACTTATATCGTAAAGCCACATACGTATATCGGCTTTCTTCCTCATCTTCACGAAACCGTCACATATCTTCTAGCATATCTTCGTGCATTATATACTCTCACTCTGTGGAGAATGAAATACAAGATTAAACGGAGGTCGGCAATCCACTACAATAATAGCAGAAGGCGTGGAAGGACGTCACCAGTGTAAACGCCTCCTCATGGAGGCATGTGAAGAAATGATCATTGTGCAATTCCATCCTGGATAGTTCGGTTGTCAGTCGTGTTTACTAACGTACTCAGCCAACAGTTCATCTATTGTTCGGAGAACCGTTTCGTGAAAAAAGCGGGCAAAGCAACAGCGACACTTTCGCTATGTTTTTACGCTAATGAGCAGTCAACAGGGAACAGAATGATACCCTGTTTGTCTTCTGAATCGCCCTGGTTGGGACGGAATTTTTGCTCACGCACGGACGGATGGACGGACGGACGCACACACACGATTGTTCGTGCGCAGTAACGTAAGTTCCGCTCGCAAATTTTCAACATTCCTCGTAAATCAAGAGGTTACAAGAGTTCATTAACGAGGGCGGATGATTAGACTACCAGAGGATGGCAGTGATCGTAGGGCGTACTACGCCCGGCGTAGCATCATGCTACTAGCATGAGTGTTATATTATAACACTCATTCAAGTGTCAAACCTAGATGAGATAGTGTCAAATGAATACAGGGTGTGTCGAAGTTGGCTATGTCTTGTCAGACTTGGACCCAACAAACCAAAGGTGTGTCAAAGATGAATGCATATTGTCAAACTTGCACCCGATATTGATTCAGTGTGTCAAACCTGAGTACGTATTGTCATTTTCGTACGTGAAACTGACATAGTAACTTGTCCCGTACGCACACACATAGTCGATTCCCGTAGCGGACACCAAATTTTAGGACTTTGAGTAATTTAGGGCGCAGCGAGGAATTCTGGGGCGCGGATGGTGGCGCGCGCTGAAGCGGCGACAAAGTAGTTTTACTTTGGCAATACATGGAAGGTAACAGTGCAGAGAAGTGGTGACAGTGACGATTCTGTGTTGTCAGAAGGAGCAATAGACCACACGAAGGCGGAGGAGGCCGAGGGCGAGTTCAGCCTCTATAGCCTCTTCAAGAGAGGGCTGCTTACTGACTGTATACTAGTGGTACCTAGGGAGAAGGTGAAGGTGCAGGAAGAGGAGGAGGGGGAAGAAGACGAGGAGGAGGAGGAAGGAAATAGCGGAGATTTCAAGCTACACAAATTGGTACTAAATAGTGACAATCTGGTTAAGGCCGGTGATGAGCGGTCTAGATCCTGGCATCTTATAGCCGATACTGCTACAAGAAGATAATACCATCAGATGAGGAGGGAGAGGAGGAGGAGGGGGAGGAAGAGGGGGATGCAGTCGTGGTACCAGAGCACCAGCAGGATGAGGGGGTCCTAAGGATAGAGGTACGGTACTAATAGTCTATAAGGCTTACAAGGGTTTATAAGATACCACCTCTGCCTGACCTTTCTGCAACTAGGGAAGATCTTCTGAAGTGCGTTGATGTTATATGCACTTTTATGTAGTACCTCCAGCTCCTCCTCTACTATCACACTCAGTGAGTAGGTACACACATGGGGACTGGGAGAGAGCTATATCGCTCAACCCGCTCTTCGCAACTCCTTCAGCTTCTCAAGAGGAGTCTCAATGCGGGCTGCTTCTGAGTAGGTCTGAGTCTTGAGGCTAGCTATCGAGGGTGTTCCCATGCAGCCCTACTGGGACTAACGTTGGCCCTTGAGATGCCCTCATTGGCCCATCGTTTGGCGGAGTACATCCTTTCTACTTGTCTCAACCCTCATACAGCTCCTGCTGTGTTATTACGCTGTAGCTATGTAAGGATAATCGTCGGTTTGGTCGGAATTATTCGCTCATTTTAGTATACTGACAACAACGCTGATGCGAAGGCTCTCGCTGAAGCTGCTGAGGCTTTACTACTTGATAAGTTCGACGTAGGCGGTTGGTCAGTAGCAGCTACACGTTGACCGAGACCCCATTTTCAGGAGTGTATTCAGCCGAGGCTGGGGAAGCCCTTGAGGGTATATGAGCTTTCGCAGCTCCCACTGGCGATGATAGAGAGGATACTAACGTCGGATAAGTTGGGCCTGGGGGCCTCTTCGGGAGATGAAGAACTGGTCTTGAGGACATGTAATCGGCAGTAGGGGGTAGGGCTGGTGATGGGAGGTAATGCAGGTACGAATGTATTGAGGCAGAGGATGGATAGAAGGCATATCAGGGTGGGTATGGAGATGGTGAAGCCATTGAGTGGTAGTAGTTGTGGGGGACTAGGGGTAGATCAGGATTGTGGTAGGCGCTGTCGAGGTCAAGTTGAGGGTGATGGAAGGGATAGCTAGCGGGTCGGAGTGTGTGAGGGGGGATCCTGTACCGAGGTATGAGAGAGCAGTATCGTGGGGTGAGGGAGAGGAGGGAAGAATAGTAGAGGGAATAGTACCTTTATTGGACGAGGCGCCTTTGGGGGAGGTGTGGGCTGAAGTGGAGTGGAAGCTCTCATCAGGAGAGGTAGGCAAGGGGGGAGAGGAAAGCTAGGGTAGAGTCGAGATCAGGTCATTGTGGATGAGCTCTCGAAAGAGGTCTTCCAAAAGCCACAGCAAGAGGAGGATGAGGAAGAGGATGATGATGATGGAAAGGAGGTGTCTCTGCACAGTGGCGCAGTGGTGAGGGTCACACTGCGGTCTGAGGAGCCCGTCCAGGAGCCGGAGAAGGACTCTGGGGAGAGTGGTGGTGATGAAGATGTAGCTGAGGAAGAGGAAGGGGAGGTGAGTATAGGTTAACTGGTCTGGTGGAGGAGGAATGTCTTAGGATGATGAGGATAGTAGCAGTCCGAAGAAGGAGGGGGTGTGGGAGAAGGAGGACTTTGAGATGGTGTATGGATGGTAGTAGTAGTAGCTGTGTCTTGTTGGTTCTTCCGAGGCTCCATTTCAGCGTCCGATGGTCCCAATTGCCCCTCGAGTCCCTCATATCAGCGGCAGAGTCGCCACTCTGGCGTCCCGCACAGGATAGGATACTTGAGTTGATGAGGAAGTTCACCACTACAGGACAGCAGGACCTTCCTATTGGGGGGAGGCCCCGGGAGTGCCAGAAGGAGGGGTATAAGCGGCGACAAGAGATGAAGGAGGAGGTGGAGGTAGAGGAGGGATGAAGGGGCTGATGAGTAGGCTGCTGTGATGTGGTAGGCTGTGTCGAGAGGGTCGGGCTTGACAGCTTCGGCGGAGGTTCCGGTATCATTTTCTTATTCGTCGGACTTCGATTCATTTGGGGCTCTCTATTGGTTGGGCACGCGAGGCCATACCATACCTTGGCGAAATCCTGCG